ATCTTGGTATATCAGTAAGTATCTTAACTGTAGAAAAAGAGACATCAGTTTCTTCTCAAGCATAGGAAAAGTTAATAAACGATACATTAAAGCTCAGGCAATGCCCCCTTCCAAGTAAGAACATCACAGCTGTCAAAAGCAGAATCAGTACTGGGAAATTGGTTCAGTGGTAGAGTGCTTGCCTCACATGCATGAGGTCCTGGGTTCAATTCCTCAGCACCACATAAGCAGAAAAAGCCGGGAGTGGTGCTGTGGCTCAAGTGGTAGAGCACTAGCCTTGAGATGAAGAGCTGAGGGACAGCGCCCAGGCCCAGAGTTCAGCCCCCACGACTGGACCCCCCCCCAAAAAAAAACCAAACAAACATAAGAATCTATAGCCATGGGTTGAAAACTGGCAGCTTCAGCTCATATCCAACTCCAGTAGCCATAATCACTCTCTGATTGATAGTCCTCCATGATGCCCCACAATAGGACCTGTGGTGCCTCACCTGAACCATGCCCTTGGTCCCGCTCACGGACGCTGTGTTGGAGAGCTCAGCAGTGATGCTACAGGTGAAGCTAGCGTGGACCCCTCCTGGGTACTGAAGCAGCACACTGACAGTGTCATCCACACCTGAGTGGAAGGAAGTCGCCATGAGGGCAGGGTTGGCTTGCTAAGGGTATGCCGTCCAGGCCTCAAATCTTGCCTGTGGAACTTTGGGCTGGAAACTACACCTCTTAAGTGGAAATGAAAAAGAATAAAAGGCCACAATTGCTGGGCACGGATGGCTCACGCCTGTAATTTTAGCCACTCAGGAGGCTGAGATCTGACGATTGCAGTTCAAAGCCAGCCTGAGCAGGAAAGTCCATGAGACTTGTATCTCCAATTAACCATCAAAAAACCAGAAGTGGTGCTGTGGCTCAAGTAGTAGAGCCCAGGCCCAGAGTTCAAGCCCTATGACTGACAAAAAAAAAAAAAAAAAACACCATGAGAAGGGCTTTTGAAAATACCTACTAATCTGATGTTTTTAGATGGGGGGAGAATTGTTTCTGCCTTGGGAATCTCAAGGAGAAGTTCATGTCTATGTTCCCTCCATCAAATAGTCCAGTACCAATGGTACCTGTCTCATACAACCGTCCCACAGCTGAAATCTTCTCAGGCCTCTGCCCATTGAAGACCATGGAGATAAACTGGACACAGTAGATACCCAGGTCCAGCAGGCTGCCACCAGCCTGGGCTGCATCTATGGCCCGAGGTACATGGGTTAGATTAACCCCGAATTCTGCCCGAGCCACTCGAAGGTCTCCCACAATTCCCTGGGCCAAAGCAGACTTCAGAGCATCCACAGCAGGAAAGAATCGGGTCCAAATGGCCTGCAGACCATAGAGGGAAGAAGAAAGTACAGGGAAAGGGTCAAGACTCAGATGAGGCTGGGAAGGTAGCTCAGTGGTAGAGTGCTTGCCTTGCATGCATGAGGCCCTGGTTCGATTCCTCAGCTCCACATAAGCAGAAAAAGCCAGAAGTGGCACTGTGGCTCTAGTGGTAGAGTGCTCACCTTAAGCTGAAGACCTGAGGGACAGTGCCCAGGCCTAGAGTTCAGGCCCCACGACCAGAGGGAAAAAAAAAAAGACTCAGATGAGCTGGGCACTGGTGGCTCACACAAGTCATCCTAGCTACTCAGGAGGCTGAGATCTGACGATCATGGTTCAAAGCCAGCTTGAAGAAGAAAATTCATGATATTCTTATCTCCAATAATCC